GATAGAGATACATAAATTGTTAGGAGGAGATTGCCTATCTTTCTCCTCAGATGTAGCTGGTGGATTAAAATTTTTTCTTCTTTACTCACTAGACCACCATAGCTGCCTGGCAACCACACTTGTTATTGTGTACTGCTGAGTCAGAACTGACCCATAGCAGACTGTTCAGAAGGTTTTCACAGGCAATTAATTGCATGAGAGGAGATTGTTCATCTTTCTCCTGCAGAACAGCTGGTGAATTAGAACAGTCTGCCTTCGGGATTGCATCACAGCTTCTTGAACTAGGCTACCAGAACTTCTGGGTAACAATACTAGGATTTCTAAATTGCCTTATTTGTAAACACTTTGATTGCTTTCATATACTCTAAGGTTCTGTTTCTATTATTCTAAATTGTGTCAGTCTTTTATTTTCTGATTTCATTAATGAATTATATCTTTTACTATAATTTGTCATATCACTGAAGTGATTTTACACACACACAGTAGTTGTTATGTACCATTAAATCAGAACAAAATCATAGCTGTTTCTCCAGCAGGTTTACAAAGACAATAAAGCACATGGGTAGAGACTGCCAATCTTTCTTCTGTAGAGGAGCTAGTCGATTCAAATTACCTTATTTAGATAGCATGCGTATTCAATCTATATGGTGAGCAAGTAATTAATGAAGCCAGACTCTGTGAAGAAGAATGTGGCATCAGAATTGGAGGAAGACTGACCAATAACCTGCACCATTCAGATGGCACAACCTTGCTTGGTGAAGGTGAGGACAAACTGAAGCACTTGTTGCAGAAGATCGAAAACTATGACTTTCAATATGGATTGTATCTAAACATCAAGAAGACAAAGGCAATCTTACCTGGGCCAGTGGGCAACATCTTGAAGATGGAGAGAAGATTGAAACTGTTAATAATTTCATCTTGTTTGCATCTACAGTCAATATTCTTGGCACCAGCAATCAGAATATCAGGAGACTTATCACTTTGGGCAAGTCTACTATCAGGGATCTTTCCAAACTACTAAAGAGAAATGATGTCAGTCTGAAGACTAAGGTGTGCCTAATCCAGGCCATGGTCTTTTAAATTACTTGCTGTGCACCTGAGAGCTGGATAATGAATAAGGATGATAGAAGAATAATTGATGCCTTTGAGTTGTGGTCCTTCGGACTCCCAAAAGAATGAACAGGTATGTCTTGGAAAGGGTGATTCTTGGAGGCAAGAATGGTAAAGCTTCATCTCTCATACTTCGGACATGTTGATAAGCGAGGCTAATCCTTAGAAAAGGATATCATGCTTGGAAGAATGGAGGGTCAGCAAAAGAGAAGATCCCTATGGAGATGGATTGACACAGTGCCTATAGCAATGACTCAAGTCTACCATAGGTGGTGAGGATGGAACAGGATAGGACAGGCTTCACATCTGTTGTTCATAGCATAGCTATGATTTATACTTTATTCGACAGCACCTAACAACAACTACAACAATAACAAGAACCACAGTGTATAATACTAGGGAGCTCTGGTGACTTAATTGCTAAGAAGCTGTCTGCAATCCCAAAGGCACATGATTGGAATCCAACAGCTGCTCCATGAGAAAAAAATGGCCAATTTCTTCCCATTTGATAAAACTGCCTCTTAAAAACCTGCTGGTGGAGGGGACCTGGGGGAGGGTTTGTAAAACAATGAAAGAATCTTTTCTTTTACTTTTCCATAATTTTTGG